AAAAAAAAAAAAAAGACATGACGAAAAAAAAAGGATAGGAGAAAAGTAGAGTAAACGGTCTCTGTGAAGTCTGGAAATGCAGAAACTCCGCCTGGTCAGAATGCACTTGGACATGCCGATGGCCAAGTGCATGATCCATGTCCAAGCCCATGATCTGCTGGATGAGCAGATGTGCAGCTTCATTCTTTTTCTTCCTAGGCTACTGTGACTAGGCACCCTGTCTACTGCATATATAGAGGGCAAGGCCGTGACGGCCCTCTATACTCAGTTGGAAGGTCCGTGAGGTGGTGGCCGCAAGGCAGGGCAGTGGAAAGCCTCCTGAGGATGACCGCAGCGCAGGCGGTCGAAACGCGGCGTCGGGGAATGTGCGCGTGCTGAGTTTTGAGGAACACATTGATTTTTGTAATATCGTACTTCGTGTTCATGAGCATTTATCGGCCATTGCTTCTTCTACTTCTTTATAGCTGCGTGGTAACCATTTGAGGAGAGGTACTCATTCTGGTGGCTACGTCAACGACTGTGGACAACAGCAGAAGACTAGCAGTTAGTCGCCAAGTGCTTGTACGAACGGAGTCAGGCTAGAGAGAGGATAGGACACGTTAGTCGGTTTGGTCTGCATGGCTACTCCGAACCGTGGTGACGGAGGCAACCCGCCGTACGGCGCGTGCTTCAACTGTGGTAGACATGGGCACTTTGCACGGGACTGCGATCAGCCGCAACGTGGACAGCAAGCACAGCAAGGGCAGCAAGGGCAGCATACGCCTAGCAACTTCACAAACAACGCAAGGTACTGGCAGAATCGGAGAGACATGGAGGATGACTTACGTAGAGTTAAGGAGTGGGTGGATATGCAAGTCAGGGCGCAACAAGAGGAAGCTGAGAAGAAGAGACAAGAAGAGGAACGGCTGAAGATGGAAAGTGAGCTTAGACGYAAAAGACTGGAGCAGGAGCGGCGCGAAGCAGAGCTTCRTAGGTTGACTGAAGAGTCGGAGCTCCGTACCATTGCTGTCGTTGCGCGAGAGCTGCAGAGCTTTCGTACCGAAATCAGGAACGAGATCAAGCTTGCTTTGGGAGCCCGGAACAAGACGCCTAAAGAGAAAGGCAAAGGGAAAAG